ACATTATAACATGATATAAAACTCAAAAACGTTGATTTTACATGATATTGCCCCATTAAGAAAATAGTGAAAAAAAAACTGTAAATGTGATATATATGTCATTTTGACAAATATTTATCAAAAAACCAAAAATATTAAGATCACATAATGAATTGTTATAAGCTTGGACATCACTGCTGCTGAGACACAATAATCATTTCAACCCAAAGAACTGCTGAAGAATTTCACCCCCCACGCTCCCTCAGACGCACCCCTCTGAAGTGACACCCCATCCCTTCAAGTGACCCCCTTCCTTCCTGACCTATGCTGCCACCATCCACAGGAATATCTCACCAAACCCTCCTAACAAAACCCACTCCCTCCTTTAAACCTGCGGAGTAACTCAGCTGCAGATTGAACTTTTAGAAAGATGTCACATAAAAGCCTGAAACGTGAATTGTGAATCTGTCATGGCAGCTGTGGTATCTGTGGTATTTCTGCCTTCTGTTAACCCCACGGCCTCACAGACTTTACCAGGCAGCCAAAAATAAACACGAGCCATCCGCACTCATGCTGAAGCTGTGACACAGCATTTACGAGCTACTCAAACGTCTCAAGGAAATGCTTCTTAGTAAGAACTCATATCACCCGCTGCCCTTTATGCTAGAGGTTTAGGTCATCTTGTTGCCATTTTGGTCAGTCCTTGAAAATAAACATTATGTGATACCTCATGCAATATCCTGAGTCTGTGTTACCAATGACTCTCAGCTACCACCACAGCAAATTTCAGCTCATTATCTGTACAACTGACTGGATTGTAGCCATTTTTGTGTTGGCTAATGTTGATTACATGTGGTGTTTGTTTTGAATTGGATTGACTCCAGAAGTACAGAACATGTACTTCCCATGATCATTTCCTGAAAGCTTCATTAAAATCTGTCCAGTGAATCCTGAGAAATTTTGCTAACAGACAAATAGGGTTGTCCTCGTTTCCTCTACCATCAGTTGACTGTGGCGGCCATCTTGAGTTTGGTTGACTCCAAAGGTTAATTAGTTGTTGTTGTGTATGCAGTTATTACTCTTTGAGAGTTTCATTAAAATCTGTCCAGTGTTTCGCAGGATATTTTGCTAACACACACACACACACACACACACACACACACACACACACACACACACACACACA